CTAGACCAAGCTGGCCTCTAGATGTGCCTTGGATTCCCCAAATTTTAGAGCTTAACTTCCACAGGAGGCTCCCAGTCTGAGAGGTCTTTAAGTAAAGTCCAGAAGATCCCTTGAAAAAATGTTATACGGTATGGATTCTTTTCCTGTATGGGTTGGGAAGGATTTGTTCTGTGAAGTCTGGATTCCGTCAAAGGGCTGCACTTGAGGACCTAGAGGGCCAGTTTCCCCACCCCTGGACCAGACAGTGGCCAACATCCCAACTGACCCTTCAGTTCCATGATTCTGACAAATTCTCTTCCCGAGAAAAGCAGGCATTTTCAAGCAAACCACAGAAAGGATTCAGCATCCACCTGACACTTATGTACAGAGCACTAGAAATAACCACACTCCAAAAGTAATTCCTAATTAGCCGAATTGTAGGAATCATCTTTCATTACAGATCAACATATTCTGGGCAGATTTACTCAGGAGGTAATGCCCTACAAACTGGAAATCCAACAGAAACTACGGAGACTCTGTAGTCACTTTTGACTGATCCCTTCCCACCCAGCTAGTCTCCCAGACTCATCATGGTCTCCAAAAACATGTCCCCAGTAGCCCTTTGGGCTCCTTCCTCCCTCTGACTGGAGAGGGTGGACAGAGGACGCTGCAGAGCTCCTCCCAGACCCTCCACTGAAGCAGGGTGCCCAGGGCTGCCGCCTCATCATCTTCCACCTGGCCAACACCAGAGATTTGTGTAAGCTGCAAGGCTTTGAAAATGCCTTCAGAACCTTAATGTCTTCAAAGGGCATTGAGGGAGTTAATAAGAAAAACAGGTGCTGGGGGAGGGGTGGACTGGGTATGTCAAAGGGTTTTAAGAGAGAAAAGAGATAAAAGGAACTGTAAATAAAAGGAATACAGAGGAACAATGATACCAGGGAGGGAACGCCTACAGGCAACAGAAACTTCCAGTCTAAGGGGTTATCTTTGATTGACTAGGACAGCTGTGGGAAGGGGGCACAGATTGTGACCCATGAAGGTAATGGAATACTATTGCAATGTAAGAAAATACAAAAAACCATTTCAGGGATTCCTGGGTTGTAGAGATGGATACACAAATCAAGGGTTTATGCAATGACAACAACACGGTAACAGCGAACCAAAAGGTGAAAAGGCTGGAGAGCTCTGATCAGCATGACCGCAGTGGCCAGGAACGGCTGCAGAGGGCGGACTGAGAGCGGACTGACCCCAGGTATAGAAGGGGAGGACACGGACATTCTGGCCACGGCCACTCACGTGAGACGAGCTTTTCTTTTCTTTCTCTCCATTTTTAACGGGGAGCGGCACAGGCGTTGGCAACAGTGACGCCCCAAACGACCCAAAAGTGTCAGGCAAACACTTACAATGCCCGAGAGAACGGAAGGGAATTCAGAACGAAACAGACGAGCAGGGCGGTTTGTAAAGTGAGGCGGGATGCGCTCACACTTCAGAAAAAAAAGATGAGGCATGAAACAGAATGGGGATTCGCGGTTTCCTATAGAATTCTCTTTTCATGTTCTGCTCGATGTTTGGGGTGCTTGAGTTCAGAATAAAAAAATCATTTTTAAAATACCGAGTCCAGTCCACCCTGCATCTTCTCTGATTTCCACATCCCCATTTCCTTCGATGGATCATGTGACCTGAACACAAGCCCTTTCACCATCCTGGATGCCGTCTTCTGGTTGGCAGGCTTCCTCAAGCGGGGAGCCTCACAGTGGACAACAACATTCCAAAAACGGCAGGGCCGTGATGAGGCGTCCAGGGATGCCTGCTTCCAGCCTGGCCCCATCCTTCTTCGTCCTCCCTCACAACCTTCCTTCCATCATCTCCCAGAGAACGCTTTCTTCCCCTGATCCTTCATTCACTTGTCTCTTTACTCACTTGTGTATGTGTGTGCACCCACATATTACACATACATACACACACATATGTATGTATGTATGTATCCCCAATACAGTAAAATGTAAGCTCATTAGGACCAGGAACAGTTTCATTTCTATCTCTATATCTCGAGTCCTTGACACACAGTAGGAGCTTAATCAGTGTTTGCTGAAATGAACTGAAGGAAAGAAGCAGCTTGAACTTTGAAACAGACTCTTGAAATCCCCTGGCCCGACCCCCTGGCCCACATTTAGATGCTCAACTTCTACCATTCACCTGGTGCTCCAATCATAAAACAAATCTTCCCGTGAAATTACACCCATTAATTCTAAAATTCCAGGGATTCTGTTTATATTCCAGGAACATCGTAGCTCTAATTATAAGCTCTACCACCTGTCAGAGGCTTCTTGTGAGAACTGAGGAAGGAGAATCGAGGCTCAGAACTCCAGGTGAGATGTGGATAATGGAGACTTCAAAGAAAAGGGGCAGTAATGTGTCCCTCCCCTGGGAAATAATATGGTTTGAAATGATCCTCAGGAGAGCAAAGTGAAACTCACCCAGAGGCTGGCAGTGAGGAGCCCAGACGTTATTCCGTTCCCATCTGCCAACCTGCTTTCTTGGAGAAGGGCAGAACTTTGAGGAGGCTGAGCTGGGGAGGGAGAAAGCAGTCGGGGGGACCAACCCTGCCTCGAAGCTCTCAAACAAAGCATTTGCCAGAATCCTAGCCCCCCTCACCCTCCAGCCCTGCTGCATCATCAGCCTACTCTACACCCTCCTTCCACAGCTGTCTCTACATCTCTTCCCAAGCTGCCAAATAAAATCACGAAATTGTATTTTAACTCGATGCACAGCAAATTCATCCTGCTTTTACCAATGCCCCCACTCCTAATGCCAATCCTTTCCATCAGTGTTGGCACACGGTAGGCACTTAATAAATGCTTGGTGACCACCCGTTTGCACATAACCAGATCAGAGGCCAGCCAGGAAGTGCTGGTATGTGAACAGTCTGGAGAGAGCCTGGGGAGGGAAGGCCGAGGCTGGGAGCTCATCTCTTCCCTCCTGGAGCGTGCCCTCACAAGTATCCCCCAGGGCCAGCCCTTTCTTCATCTCAAACCTCCACAACATCACTGCCCTCTCTCCTCCTCCCCTGGACCCCAGCAGCCTGCCCCCCCCAAATGGTCTTCTCTAGCAACTGCAAACTCAATCATCTTCCCCTCGAACCTTCAACCTCTCCCCACCTACTAGGTCCTTCCCTACATGCTAAAAACAAGCCCAAGTCTCCCCCATCCTTAAAAAGAAATAAAACCCCCACCTTCCCTATATCTCTCCTCCCCTTTCCAGCCAAACTCCTCAGAAAGGCTGTTTACACTCACTGTCGCCCTCCCACTCCTAATGGACTCCCGGGCCCTCTGCAGGCGGGCTCCCGACCTCCTCACCCCACTGCAAATGCCCTCCCCAAAGTTACAATGACGTCTCAATGGCTGAATCTCATGGTCTTTCTGTTGGGCCTCCACCATGTTTGACCACCGGCTCCTCTGCTCAGAGGGTCTCCCCCTCACCCCTTCTCAGTCCTCTGCTGACTCTCTAAGCCTGCTGCGTCTTTCTCAAGGCTCTGGCCTGGCCCTTCTGCTCTCTGCTCTCACTCTCCCACTCTCTGAGGCCTCATCCACTCCTGGATTACTGTTAGTGTGTGTGTGTGTGTGTGTGTGTGTGTGTGTGTGTGCACGCGCACGTACGTGTGCTCCTGTGTAATGTTATACATGTATACATCACATGAGAGAATATAACTCACAGATACACACACACATCTGTGTACGTATGTACAAACACAACACAAAGTAGAAGCCAGCCCCAGGCTTTTGTCTCATAGCATTAGCATTCAGCCTGACATCTCAAATTCAACAAATCTACAAGTGAAGGCATTCTCTGCCCCCCAAACCCCGCAATTCTTTAGAAGTGTGTGGGACAAGTGAAAGTTCTCATGTTAAAATGTAAGCTATGCTCCATAAATGTAGTGAGGCTTCAGCATGAGCTGGGCCTAAGTTCCACTTTCGTTTCTGGGGAAGGGGGTTGCGCACCAGCTGCCCACCCCCCTCCCTTGTTTTACAACCACCCCCTCCACTGTTTTGTGCCTTAACTTTACCAAATAATGCAATCCTCTAGCTCCCAAACTGTTTTGAGTAAAATGTATCTCTTGGGTTCTGAATATAGACTGTGAGGTCTCTTGCCTCAGCCAATGAGGATAAAGAGATTGAGACAAACAGGTGGGGAGGGGGCTTTTTGGAGTGGTTTGCCTAAGACTATGTAACTGCTTGCTGCTGTTTGTGCTGGGCCTCATTACTCCAGTCTGCCCTGGGTAGGAGATGCCCAACTCTCTCGGGAGACTTGCTAGTTTAACAAAACCTTCTGTCTTCTACCTGGAGAAACCTCTGTTTTTATTTGAGTAAGTGGTCTCAATCCCACTCAGTGGGGGCTCGTCCAGGATATTCTTTGATTAGGGAGGGGGTTTTCCTACCGAGGTCAAGACCAAGCTTGCATCCGAGAGTTCTCGGAGGTCTTGAGCCCTGGAGGGAGGTTACCACCCAGTCACTGAAATACACCCAAAGAGAGGGACTCAGAGAAACAGAAGGCTTCTTAGGGCTCCGATGATTAGGGACGAAACTGAGAAATTCTGGCCAGCTGGTGGCTGAGAGCAGTCACGTAAGTTGTACATGTGCAACCCAGAGGTTAGCACTCAGGGGTCTGGAGGTAACTGGCACAGGGCGAGGGCCCTTTAGGGCAGACTCTAGTTTGGGCGGAGTCCGGACCTGGTCAAATTGCAGAATAGATACCTCATCGGAAGGATGCCGCTGAGAAAGCCTCATGGGTGACTGGTGAGGAGTGGGCAGTCCTTCTCAGTGATTCAGCTGAGTCTGTCTTTAGACTTGGGGAGTTCGGTGATGGCTCCCGTAAATTCCCTAGGTGAGGGCCTGGGGGTTCCCTAAGAATGGGAAAGGGGCAATCTAAATCCGTGCAGAACTGAAGTGGCCTACCAAGATATAGAGGAAAAGATAAAAGGAAAATGATTGGATATGGTTAGATGATTTGAGGATTCTACAAGGTGGAGGGTTGTTGTATGTCTATTTTCTTTTTTGTGTTTGTGTCTGTGCGTGGTGTGAATGAGTGTTAACAGTGTTTGACAGTAAAGGATTTGGCAAGAAAAGCATTCCGAGTGCTGCAGCTGGACTCTGGAGTGTGGCTTCTTTCTCTCCCTTCTCACTCACTGATAACAGCAGCCTCAGAGGGGTGGGGCTGGATGGAAGAAAGAAAGAGAGAAAAATACTTTATTATTTAGGTTTATGATTGGTAAAAAGTTGAGAAGGATTTTCGAAGTGTCAGGTCAGAATTAGAAAGAAGTAAGATATGTGAAGTTTTAAAGGGACTTTAATCAAAGTCCATTAGAAAGAAAGGCAAGAAAGTTTAAGCTTGCAGGAGAGGGAATATGTGTAGAAAGCTTAAGGAAGGTGTAATTTATTTGCACAGTGTGAACAGAGGTTTTGAAAATAAGAAGGTTTTGAAACCTTTGGGAAAAAAAATAATATAATAATTTCTCTCTCTGTCTGCATTCTAATTCTGGCCAAATTTGAGTGTGGAGACAAAGAGAGACAAAGGGAACCTTTTCCCTTCAGATCAGAGAGAGAGGTAGCACTTAATCTTTTCTGCCTCTCATAAAAGAGAGAAGTTTTTGTGTACAGGAACACAATCAGTTTGGGAAGAGAGAGGGAGGGAGAGCCCTATTCAATTATCTCCCTTCAGATTTGCAAAAAGAAAGCTGAATAGCTTTAGATGGATTAAGTAAGTTGAGAAGGTGTGAGGAAGTGGTCTGTTTAAAGAAGAAAGATGGAAAAATAAAATTCTTTTTTTTTGCCTAATTTAAAAACCAGTAGATAAAGTTATGGAGAGATGGAAGGAATTATGTCCACCCACCTTTCCGGCTAGATCCGTGGGTGGGTTCTATTAGATCTAATATGGATACTGATTATGGTAAAGAGATTGGTTATTGTAGGAAAGCAAAAAGTAGTCAGAATACTGGTCCAGTACATTTTTAAACCGACCTGATTATAATAGGTGATTCCAAACCGTTTGTAAAACTTTCGCAAGAAAATGTGGACATGAATGGGGAACTGAAATATTAAAGAAATATATGAATTTGTGGATAATATCCCTTTATAAAGGGCCAAGGGTATTGAATTTAGAAATGTGCATGTGTATAATTTTGAGAGCAACTATTGTTATTTGGCATCAAGAAATTTATTAACTATGTGGCCCCAGGAGACTGTTGAATCTGATGAAGGGGTCTAGAAAGAAAGACAGATTTTTTATTGAGTCTGTTTTCAACTGTATTAGTTATGTTGCTGGAAGGGCAATTTCTTTTATAATCTGGAATGTTAAATTAATTGTGCCTTCAGGGAAAAGAGAAAAAGGAATGAATCTGGCTGTTGGGGCATTCTATATGATCCTGTTTTGTTACATTTCCTTTTTAAGTATTGTAATTTAAGAAAGCATAAAATTTCCAAATTCTGTGTTTACTATTTTAACGCTAAAACCTAGAATTGTTAATTATTTGTGTGTGAAAAGAAGGGGCACAAGGCAATTGCTCCTTATGTTGAAAACTTGCCAAGGTCCCTGGAAACCAACAAGGGGAGGGTTAACATAACCCCTCTCAAGATCAAACTGAGGGAACCCACTACAGTGGTGAGAGCAAAACAATATCCTGTATCTCTAGAGGAGAAGCGAGGACTCAGACTGGTGATTCAGGGGCTATTGGAAGGGGGACTTCTCAAACCCTGTATTTCCCCCTTCGATACCCCCATCTTGCCGGTCCGGAAAGGGGATGGAACATATAGACTAGTCCAAGATTTAAGGGAAGTTAACAAGGTTGTATTACCATCCCACCCAGTGGTCCCTGACCCCTACACGATTTTGGGAAGAATAAATGAAGACAGTAGGTGGTTCAGTGTACTTGATTTAAAGGATGCATTCTGGGCCTGTCCCTTAGACCCTAGCAGTGGTGATAGCTTTGCTTTCCAGTAGGAGGATCCCAAGACTGAGAGGAAGCAGCAGTATAGGTGGTGCATCCTGCCCCAGGGGTATACTGAATCACCAAATCTGTTTGGACAAGTCCTGGAGAGAATCCTGGAAGGGTTTAGAGCTCCCCTTGGGATACAGGTTTACAGTATGTAGATGATTTGCTGGTGACAGGTAAAAAGAAAGTTCCTGGGACTAGCAGGATACTGTAGAAATTGGACTGATTTGTATGCGTCCCTCACTGTGCCTGGCCTGGGCAGATTCCACCCCCCCCCCTTCTGAGATGCTCACTTCCTGTCTCCTCTGGCCCTGGAGCCCACTCCGCCATGGTTGCTGGTCCTGGCTGGGCTCTCCCTGCTCAGCCCTCGCTCCAAGGCCTCTCTGCCCGGAGTCACTGCCCCATCAGCAGTGCCAGGGGCTGTTCCTTCACCTCTGGTGCTGCCCTCGAGCCATGTGGGAAGATCTCAGGGCAAGGGTCATCTTCTGGGGGGGCTGCTTTTCCTGGGAGTGATCTCTATACCCTTCACCTTCCAGGAAGCTGAGGCCTGGGAGCAAAAAAAGAAAAGCAAGGTCACTTTAAATAGGCCCTTCACTCTGGGGCTCAGATCCTCATCCCCAGCTGGACCTTGTATCTCTGGGTCAGAGGACTCTACCAGGGGCTAGTCGAGCCAGAAAAATGGATGGAGACAGCAGGAGGGAGCAAGAGTCACAATCACACATTGTAACTCGTGGCCTTTGGGAGCCAGCCTCAGGCGCTGGACACACAAGAGGGCTGATGATGAATCTTTCATTCATTCAAGAAATGTAGAAAGAAAACCTACTGTGTGTCCCAAGCTGGAGTGAAGCAAGTGCTCTTGACCACCAGCCCCAGAAGGCCGGCCTTTCATCGTGTGGTCAGGCACCCACAGCTGTCAGGGAGTGGGGGCAGGTGTTCCATCCCTCCCCCTACAACTCACAGGCCCATCCCCATGGTCCTGCCAAGCATATTTCAGTAGGGTGGGCACCCAGGGAATTCTTTTTCAAGGTGGAACATTTGCTGAACTCAGTCAGTAAGAACAATAATTTTATTCATCAAACTAAAGAAACTAAAACGTCTAGTTTTGTTTTAATCAGGGTAGCTCAGTGTCACAGAGGACAGAGCACCAGGTCCGGAGTCAGGAAGACCAAGTATGAATCCGGCCTAAGACACCTCCTAGCTGTGTGACCCGAAGCAAGTCTCTTACCCCTGGTCGGCCTTGGTTTTCTCATCTATAAAATGGGGATGACAGTCCCCACCTCCCAGGGCTGTTGTGAGGCTCAAATGAAATGAGATTTGTAAAGTGCTCAGCAAATCGGAGAGTGCTGGAGAAATGGGAGTCATTAGTTCTAATTTAACAACTAAACTGGGCTTGAAACATCCCACATTTGCAAAGAGCTCCTTTCAATCCAGCCCTCCCCCTTCCCCTAAAATACAGAAGAGGCTCTGAGCTGCCCCTTCTTGACTAAACATCCATCTCTCCAAAGGGCCCACGTCTCTGGCCACCAACGGCCAGCGGTGCAGTTTAAGGACTGGCCACGAGGCAGTGTCCTTCGAAACGGTGAAATCCCTTTGGGGTCTCCAGCCACAGGGCCACGGAGTCTCCCGGAAGCCAAAGGCCAAAGGACTCACAGGGGAAAAAAGGCTAGGACTCAGCTCTAGTGCGCTGAAGTTCCCCAGAGCAGACCCTGCTGGGACTCCCCCCCCCCAAGGATGGGGTCTGTAGAAGAGGGGGCACTCCAGCTCAGAGAGAGTCTAGGGAAGTGCTGGAGGCCTCTTGGACCACAAGGTGACCAAGTCCCAAACATACCTCCATGCCTTCCCCAGACTACAGCCTCACAGAAACAACCAGCATTCATTAAGTGCCTACAGTGTACCAGCCACCGAGCTAAGCACAGGGGGAGACAAAAAGGGGCCAAAGACAGTCCCTGTCCTCAAGGAGCTGACGATCTAATGGGGGGGCAACAAGCAAACAAATACAAAGTGAATTCTATAAAGAATAAATGGGAAATAACTAAAAGAAGGAAAACACTAGAATTCGATGGGATTGGGAAAGGCTTCCTGTAGAAGGTGGGATTTAGCTGGGACTCTTCCCCGCCCCTCCAGTACACCCTAAGAAGGTCCTGCCTGCATAAGACACCACCTACCCTACGGAGTTCAATCAATCTAGAATCGTTTATTAAGTGCCTACTGTGCACAGCAGGAATGGGGGCCCTCCTGGAAGGGCGTGATCCGGAGAAGGCACCCCAGAAGGGGCCCCTGATGACGTAAAGCCACACCTTTGGAACAAAATTCCTTGGTGACCCTGAAGACGCTGATTTCACTTGAGGGGTGAAGATGGCAATAGGGTTTAGAAGAGAAGTAAAGCCATGGCCCTGGAAGACTGGGGTGGGGGTGGGTAGGGTCTTTCATTGTTTTTCAGTCGTGTCCGACTCCCCATGACCCCATTTGGGGTTTTCTTAGTAAAGATCCTAGAGTGCTTTGCCATTTCCTTCTCTGGCTCATTTTACAGATGAGGAAACTGAGGCAAACAGGGTGAAGTGACTTGCCCAGGGTCACACAGCGAGTGTTGGAGGCTGGCTTTTAACTCAGGTCTTCCAGACTCCAGGCCCAGCATTCTGGGCATTGCTCCCCAGCTGCCCCTTGGATTAGGGTCCAGGGAGAGGTTTTTAAGGCTGGGAGAGACTCGGGCATGTTTGTGGTAGAGGGGGTAAGGAGGGTGGGTTCGGAAGTGGGGGTGCTCAAGGTTGGGGAGGAGGCCCTGGGCCAAAGGGCCCCCCCCCCCAAAGGCCCAGAGAACAAGGATTTCAAGGCCGATTTCAAGGCAGAGTCCAATGGTATTTATGAAGCACCTACTGTGTGTCTGGTGCCGTGCCAAGGGCAGACATTATAAAGAAAGGCAGAGGACCGCCCCTGCTCTCAGGGAGCGCACACCCTAGTGACAGACAACGCACACCCGCAGGGTCAGCTGCTCTCTGAAAGAATGGGAGGGGACAGAATTAAGGGGGTTGGAGAAGGAAGCCTTCCGGCAAGGGCAGGCGGAGCTGGGAGTGCCTGGCGTGCCAGTGCAAAGGCCCGGAGTCGGGAGATGCAGGTCCCTGGCTGGACTCCAACAGCGCGTGGGGAGGGGGCGACAAGCCTGGGCAGGGCGGAGGGCCCACGTCTGGCCAAACAACATTGTGTCTCATGGCGGGGTAATAGGGAGGGCTTACGAGGCCGCGTGGGCACGTGTCGGGGGCGGGGGGAGGGTGTCAGGCCGCCGGTGGGCACAAGCATCCATTCGCGCATCCTATCCGTGGTCCAGCCAGGCCAGGGAAGCCGGACAGCGCATGCGCAGCACGCACCCTCCTTCAGAGGGCTCGGCCCGGGAGCGTGGAAGGGGCCGGGGTCGCGCGTGCGCACTGCCTCCCCCCCGCGTTTTCTCTCCCTCGCTCACCCCGCTTGATGAGCCGCTCGGCGCGATACTAGGAGCCCACTGCTGGAAATTGGGCCTCCTCGCAATGTAAACGACCCCCTCACTCTGAGCCCCTCGAAGATATTTCCCACGATGCACCGCGCTTTGCGTCAATCAGCCAGAGTCGAGCTAAAGCAGCCATGTTGCAGGTGCGCAACTGGGCCGCCGCATTCTCATGCATTCTGGGAAGAGCGTCTGGGATAATGCATTCTGGGAAATGAAGTCCGAGAGGGAGGAGGCCGCCGCCTGGCCTGCACCGCGCACGCGTGAGCCCCGGACTTCATTGCCCCGAACTTCATTTCCCCACAAAGGCTTAAGTGGCACTTTAGCTAGCTGGAGGCTCAGCGCAGGGGTTTTAGGCGAAGGGGACGGGAGGGGAGGCTGCCTTCCTATCTCCCACCCCACGTGGGGTTCTCCCTTGCCTCTCCCCTCCACCCTCCTTCTTTGCCTCCAGTTTGGTCCGTCAGGTCTTCGCTTCTCGGTGCTTGGCGATGCTGCTGCATCTGACGTCACTAGCCGGTGAAACTGATACTTCTGTTCTTTACAAGCCTCTTCTGAGTCCGGCTTCCAGCCTCCTCCTCCCGCTCCCCGAGGGAGAGCCTCCGCCCTCGGACCCATAGTCAACAAGAGAAGGGGGGAGCAGCGGCGGACGGAGGGGTCCTGGCAGTGGTGGCGCCTCAGAGGGGAAAGGAAGGGGCTCCGCCCCTCCCAGCCCGCGTCTCTCTCTGCATCCCCTGGCACAGCCCGGCCCTACCTTCTTCCCCTTCTCCCAGGTTGCCCCACTCGCGATGCTCAGCTCCCACTTGTTTTCTCTGATGCCAGATGAACCTATCGCAACGCACACATTGTAGAGGTGAAGGTTTATCATGCTTAAGCCCAGGTTCAGGAGACAGAAAAACAACCATGAACCTAGATGGTTGGTAAAACTGGTGGAGAAAATTGTGTCGGAGAGACAGAAGTGCTTTTAACATAAACCGATTTTTATGGCCTTCAAAATCATATGTTTTGTAATTTCAGACACTTCCTGACCTCGTTTGGGGTTTTCTTGGCAAAGGCACTGGAGTGGTTTGTCATTTCCTTCTCCAGCTCATTTTACAGATGAGGAAACTGAGGCCCAGAAAGGGGAAAGTGACTGACAGCCAGAAATAGGACTCAGGTTCACTGTCCCCCATCCAGGGCTTGCCCCCACTACACCGTACTGCCTCCCCCAAATGCCCAGTCTCTTGTTTCTGGGTTATCCTGTTGAAAACCTTCATGAGTGTAAAAATGAATTCTGTATATACAAAGTTACTAACTAATAGTGCCATACCGGACTGCATTAAGTTATAAGCTGTGTTTTAGAAAGAAACGTTAGCAGTCAGCTTCAAAATGTTTCATGTAGGAGGCTTAAATACTTTCTGCTTGTGTCCCTAACTTCGTGTGATAGAGTTGCTTGTTCCCATAACACTACAATATTAGGAATATTATTGTCCATACAAAGGAATTTTGTGACATGCTTATTTTAGTTCCAGACTGATAAGATCTGAAGTGTGGGGGTGAGGGACACCTCTGGAAAAGACCAGTGTTCTTTCCTGTGTGTCCCACCATGGAAGCTGAAAATCATCTGGGAAGTCGTGTCACACACACACATTTGAGAAGCTGCTTGACTCTACTGCTGCCGCTGCATACACTTTAACCTAGTAGCTGTGCTCCTTTGGCTTGGTTTGCTCCAAGCACATACAGCTGGCTCACATTCCACCTTGATTCATGAATTGAATGTTGGCCTGATAGAATATTGCAGTGAATGTGAATCAGGGCAAGAAGGTGAAATCCTTCAGGTACTCTCAAGTATCTGGAGACAAGCACAAGTCTAGCAAATAGATTTAATTAGTTAATTTTAAAAATATGTTGTGCAGGCCTGTTTTACATCCTCTACGTTTTTCGAGGACTGCCTGAAATCCTTTTGCAGGCAGCAAGCAGAGGGACAGCTGTAAGTGGCCCGAGGGCCAAATGTTGTGCAGGCCTGTTCTAAATGGTCAGCTTTGGAGACTGGGCCAATGTCTGATGCACGTGCTCAGAAAGAGAGCCAGGTTCCTCTGCAAGGTGAATCTGCCTGGAATCTGCCTAAGAAAGCTGTTTGTTCTTCAGGATGTGGCCTGGAGTCAGGAAGACCTGAGTTCAAGTCCAGCCTCCGATACTTCCTAGCTCTGTGATCCGGGGCAAAACCTCTGATTGCCTGACGAAAAGATCCACTGGAGAAGGAAATGGCACACCGCTCTACCATCTTTGCCAAGAAAACCTCATGGACAGTGTGGCCCATGGGGTCACTAAGTGTCAAACGTGACTGAACCACGCAACAGCAAAAACCCAAAGCTACAGTATTACCTGATTTGCCACTTCAGTGACCCCGTCAAATAAGGAAAGAAGTTTGACCTGTCCTTTTAAAACAGGCTTTTAAAAGTGAACATTGACCTATTTTATTTTTACATCATTTTCCTTTCCAAATCCTCTCCCCCTTCCCTCCCCAGGGATTCATCCCTTGGTAAAAGAAGAGGGAAAAAAAGTTCAATTTTCTTGTTTTATTATTAACTTCACAAAGAACAACACGAACATTTTACATACAAAAAACAGGACCCTACATGACACTGTGAATCTCCATTCTATACTAAGCTGCTTTTGTTTTTTAAAAAAAGTATATATTAAATTCAATGCGATCATACGGTCACTGCCCTGATTCAGCCCCTTTCTGAACTTCTGTTGTCTTCAGAGCATTTAAAAACATTTAATTGATGCTTCTTCCTTTTTTGTGTCACTATCTCTACCCATTCATTTCCCCCATCCCTGCAAATAAAAGTCCTCCCTTGTCACAAACAGGCAAAACAAATTCACCTTGGCTGGGTTTCTGCTCCATCACTAAAAACAAGAATACTTCAGCAAGATGATCCCACTATTGTTTGTTGTATCAACTCTGTTAGTAATTTCAATGTTAAACATCCATAATACATTCCGCCTCAAATAAGGAAGGCAATAGCTTTTCTCATTCTCCATAGTTATGCTGGGTGACTATAATTCCATAGTGTGGAATTAGGATCTTTATATTAATTGATATGACATGTGTGATGAATATACTAATAATTTAGTTTTTTAAGAGCTGCCTCTCTGGCTCAGGAGTCAGAAGCTTACAGTGCAACTTGAAATAACCAAACTTTGACAACGCTCACAATCACTGGCAAACTGGTGCCAGTGTATCATAAGTGAACCGAATCAAAGATCGTAGAACCTGTTCCCATCACAGAACTCTAGTTCTGAACCCTGGGGGAGGTGGTCATGACTCCCAAAGACTTGACTCCAGAATTGTATTGTGGGATTTGGGGGTTTCTTGTGGATTACAAATGATTGTTTGTAATCCACCTTCCCCCTACCCCAACCTGTGATTTAAGTATATAACCTGTGCTTGTACTTTAGCTGTGAGAACATTCTTCACTCTGAAGTTGATTAATAAATCTACCTGATTACTGGCACTCCCACTGTAGGCCTGCTATGTGTGGCTCCGAGCATTATCAGGTTAAAAACTGGCTCAGTAAAAATCTTGTTCGTGATAGCGTTCAGTTAGGTTTTTCTGTTCTTCCTATTTACCTGTGTATGTTGGGTTTCTAGTTCTGTTTGCTTTGTATCAGTTCACATCAGGCTTTCTACATATCTTTGAATTCTTCAGTCATCATTTCTTACAGCACAGAAACATTCCATTATATTCATGTATCCCAATTTGTTCCCCATTCAACAGGCATCCACTTGGTTATGCCTATTCTAGATGATGGTACTGCAGTCAAAATGAATTGATACAGATGTTCTCTATGTATAATACAGCGTGTGCTCACTAAAGGCTTGTACCCATGAACTGCCTTCAAAGGATCTCACTCCAGTATGAGTTCTCGGATACTGTTCAAGCATCTTTCAGGCATCCCCTCTCAGTGAAGGCTTTCTCACATTCATTACAATCAAAATGTTTCTCTCCAAGGTGGCTGATTTCTCTCCAGGAAGGTCAACAACCTTCATTCTTGAGGAGGACCAAAGTGACATCACTATGCTAGAGTCAAGTTACAGTGTGTCCTACTATGCTAGAGTCAAGTTACAGTGTGTCCTTCCATGGCTGATTAGACCAATACGAGCTTAGAATGTTCTACCACAGATTGGACATAACAGTCCATGCAAACATTTGGGGTGGATTCTCTAAATTTGCTCATCTTGAGTTTCTTCTGAGCTACTCAATTCTCCTTTGCTCACAGAGCACAGCACCTTCTCTGATGTGGGCACGCCATGCTGAGTGGTCCTGTGCCAGTGTCTCCCATATCACACAATCAATTCCAAAGTCCTTAAGAGAGACCCTGAGAGTATCCTTGTGTCTCTTCTTCTGACCACCACATGAACACTTACCCTGTGTAAGTTCTCCATAATATAGTCTTTTTTGGCAATCGTATGTTTGAACAACGTGGCCAGCCCATAGGAGTTGCGCTCGCTGAAGTAGAGTTTGAATGCTTGGCAGTTTAGTTTGAGAAAGGACCTCAGTGTCTGGTATCTCACTGACCAGGTGATCTTCAGAATCTTCCTAAGACATTTCCAATGGAAATGACTTAGTTTCCTGGTGTGGTGTGGTATACTGTCCAAGTTTCACAGGCATACAACAACAAGGTCAGCACAACAGCTCTGTAGGCCTTCAGTTTGGTAGTCAGTCTAATATTTTCCTTCAGAGTCTCCCAAACAACCTCATTATCAATGTATACATCCCTAGAAAGTATACTGCCAAGGTAGGGAAACTTATCCACAGCATTCAAAACTTCTCTATTTGCTGTAACAATGGATATAACCACATATGGATGGTGTGGTGGTGGCTGACAGAGTACCTCATATTGTCTGATAAACAGCAGTTTGTCCTGAAAGGCTGAAGCCTTTCTTATTCACTACTCAAAGGATTTCTATTTAAATCAAATGAGATATTTGTAAAAGTGTTTAGCACAGCCAGTGTTGGCTGGCACACAACAGGTGCTTAATAATAATGCTTATTCACTTCCACTTCCCTAGTATGAATTATCTGATGGATTCTGAGTAGTCTACTTTAACTGAATGGTCTTTCACACTCATTGTGGTCAAAGCTTTGATTTTACACCAGTAAGAGTTCTCTCATGGGTAATAAGGAGTCCTCTCCAGCTGAGACCTTTCCTGTGTTCATTAAAAGAAAATGGCTTCTCTCTACTATAAGTTGCTGATGGAAGGTGTGTCTTCTCAAGGTAGCAAACAACTGGAAACAATGCAGGTAACCATCGATGGGGGAATGGCTAACCAGGTTATGGTTCATGAATGTAATGGAATTTTAAGGTGCTGTAAGAAATGATGACTATGAGAAATACAAAGAAGCATGGGAAGATTCATATGAACTGATGCAAAGTAAAGTTAAAGTAAGCCAGGAAAACAACATATTTGGTGACCACAATAATGTAAATGAAAAGAACAACAGAAGTCTAAACTAAATGCTATGAAATTATGACCATGCTTGATCTTGAAGAAGAAATACAAGAAGGAAACAGATTCTTTACAGAGGCAGGTGACTATGAGTGTGCCACACTGCATTTAATGTCACACTTTTCAGGGTGTTGTTTCATTTTACTGGATAATTTTTTTCTTTTGTATAGTGGATGGCTTTCTGGGAGGGGACCAGAAGAAGCTGACACATTAGGAAATGCAGAAAAACCAAAGCTAGCAAAAAAAAAAATCATTAAAAAGATGGTGTACCCTCCAGCTGAAAGCTTTCTCATATTCTTTATATTTTAAAGTTTACTACATTATACATTTTCTGATGTCTAATAAGGTGCTTCCTCTGTCTTAAAATTTTCTCAATCATTATATTAAAAGAGATTCTTCCCAGTATGCCTTCTCTGATGGGTAATGAGTTTTGCTCCTTGGATGAACAGCTTACTACATGTATCACATGCGAAGGGTTCCTTTCCAGGATGAGTTCTGGAGAGTAATAATTTTTGACATCATGCTGAAGCCTTTTCCACATTGATTATATGGAAAGTATTTCTGATGCTCAATAAGGTGTTATAAGGTATCCCCTCCAGGAGAAGACTTTCCCCCATTCATAAGATCCAAAGGTCTCGTATCCAATATGAACTCTTATATGTCTTTTGAGCATTTTCCAGGAAAAAAAAAAGCTTTCCTATATTCATTACAGAAGAAGATTTTTAATTCAGCATGTATTCACTGATGTCCTCCAAGGGGTATCCTAATAAAGTTTCCTATGTTAATTATATTCAAAGTGCTTCTCTTTAGTATAAGTTACCTGATAGCTTTTGAGTATTATACTCTTATCAAAGGCTTGGCCATTTTAATTATATTTAAAGGGTTTCTCTCCAGTATGAGTTTTCTGATGGGTAATAAGGCTTGCCCTCTGGGTGAAGGCTTTCCCACATCCATTACATTCAAAGGGTTTCTCTCCAGTATGAGTTCTCTGATGGGTAATAAGGTTTCCCCTCTCCCCAAAGCCTTTCCCACATTCATTACATGCAAAGGGTTTTTCTCCAGTATGAGTTCTCTGATGGGTAATAAGGCTTGCTCTCCAACTGAAGCCTTTTCCACATTCACTACATTTAAAGGGTTTATCTCCAGTATGAATCCCTTGATGATAAATGAGGTGTCCCTTCTGGCTGAAACCTTTGCCACATTCATTACATTCATAGGGTTTCTCTCCAGTATGAATTCTCAGATGTCTGTTAAGGCTTCCTCTGCTACTGAAGGCTTTCTCACATTCATTACATTCAAAGGGTTTCTCTCCAGTGTGAGTTCTCTCATGATGAATGAGGAGTCCCCTCTGGCTAAAGGCTTTCCCACATTCATCACATTCGAAGGGTTTCTCTTCAGCATTGATTATCTGGTGTCTACTAAGGTTTCCCTTATTCCTGAAGGTCTTCCCATACTCAGTGCCTTTGAAAGGCTTCTTTCCAGTATGAGTTCTTTGATGATGAATGAGGATTCCTCTCCGGCTAAAGGCTTTTCCACATTCATAACATTTAAAGGGTTTCTCTCCAGTATGATTCCTCTGATGATCGATAAGGGATCCCCTGTGCCTGAAGGTTTTCCCACATTCATTACATGCAAAGGGTTTCTCTCCAGTATGAGTTCTCTGATGTCTATTAAGGCTTCCCCTGTCTTTGAAGGCTTTCCTGCATTCACGACACTCAAACGGTTTCTCTCCAGTATGAGTTCTCTGATGGGTAATGAGGTTTCCCCTCTCACTGAAAGCTTTCCCACATTCCTTACATACAAAAGGTTTCTCTCCAGTATGAGTTCTCTGATGAGCAATAAGGTTTCCCCTTCGGCTGAAGTCTTTCCCACATTCTTTACATTTAAAGGGCTTCTCTCCAGTATGAACTCCTTGATGATTAATGAGATGCCCCCTCTGGCTAAAGCTCTTCCCACACTGATTGCATTTAAAGCGTTTCTCTCCACTATGAATTCCTTGATGATTGGTAAGGTGTCCCCTCTGGCTGAAGGCTTTTCCACACTCAGTACATTCAAAGGGTTTCGCTCCACTATGAATTCTCTTATGTCTATTAAGTCTTCCCCTTATATGGAAAGATTTCCCACATTCATTACATTTAAAGGGTTTCTCTGCAGTATGAGTTCTCTGATGTATAATAAGGTTTGACCCCAGATTAAAGTCTTTGCCACATTCATTACATTCAAAGTGCTTTCTTCTGGTATGAATTCTCTTACATTTATTCAAGGTTCCAATAGTTTTCCCATATTTATTACAATTATGATATTTCTTTCTAGTATGAATTATCTTATGTTCAGTAAGATTTGATCTTTTGCCAAAGGTTGTCCCATCCTCAGCGTGTTCACATAGTCTTTCTCCAGCATGTATTTTATGAAATTTAATTAGATCTGAGTGGTAACTAAAGGGCTTCTTGTACTTTGTATACTTATGGAGGTTCTTCTCTAAGAAGAATGTATTGCATGTAAGTGGGCTGGAAAAATCCTTGACGCATTTTCCAAGCTTCTTATATTTATGGAGGCTGTCCCCCATAATGCCTTTCCTTAGTGCAACAAAGCCTGACCCCAAATGCAAACTTCTCCCTGGTGGATTACAATGAAGAATGCACACTTTATTAGGAGTTTTGCCACGAGTAGCTGTTACTGGTTTGGATTGTCTCTCCTGCTTATCCTTCTGTTTCTCTACAATAACTTCAAGTCTCCTGGTTTCTTTCTTCTCGGAATGCTGAGGATTACCCTTTGGCAGTCTTTTTTTATTGGATGCTTCTGTGTAAATGCCTTGTATCAGACCTGAGTCCTTTCTTTCACACCTGGCCTCTTCAATAAAGGAATCTGAAAAGAAACAAACAAAACATTGTCACTCACCACCATTTGCTGTGCCGAGGGAAAGGAATCCTTTTTAGAGGACGTTCTAGTCTCTGTCTCTTGTATAAAAGAGAATGATGCTCAACTTGGACCAGGGGGAACAGTGTCTTCAAGAAGTGACTCTAGAATGGGGGAGATCATATTGTGTACTCTGTTTAGTTCTCGGGTACCCGAGTGTCCACAGGAGCACAGCCAGTATAGTCATGGGCCCTGGAGCCATCTCACAGAAGGATCAACAGAAGGAACTGGGGAGGTTTAGCCTGGAGAAGACTTTCTCTTTTTGTGACCGGACTTGTGATTCCACTGGCGTAGGGGGCTCCCAGCGAACAACTTCCTAGCACTTTTTTTTCCTGCAGCTTACAGTCAAAGAACTGCCTGATACACTAAGATGTTCAACAATTTGCTCTGAGTCACACAGTCAGCATGTATTGGGGCAGGATATGAACTCAGATCCTTCAGATTCTGAAGCCAGATCTTTGTTATGTAATGCCACCTGTCTTAAAAGACTTATGGAAGACATGATATCTGGCTCTGATTATTTGAAGGTTCCCCACATAGAAGAGGTATGACACTTGGTCTGCCTGGTTCCAAATGCCAGATTTGGGAGCAATGGTAGAAGTTACAAAGAGGAAAATTTAGGCCTGATTTAAGGAAAAACTTGCAAACAATGAGAGCTTTTCAAAAGTGGAATGGACTTCATTGGAGTGTTCAAGTACAAGACACCTATGTTATAGAAGTCTTTTACTATCAGCTATCCATTAAAATAGATGGTCCTGAGCTCCCCTCCAACTCTGTTATTCTCTGACATATCTAAAATAATGTAGCTTTCCCAATTATGATGAGTGGGTATTTTTTAATGTACTCAAGAAACATAAGAACACGTGATTCACAAAAGACAGAATACTGCTGGTGTTTTCCCATCCCTCGCTTCTGGTTTTATGTATATGTATATTATTTTTATCTTATTCAAAATGGCCCACGTAAGCCTAAACTTTATAGAATTTTTAGCATATATGATTATTGTACTTTATCAAAGGAGTTTTTCACACGGGTTGACATAATCATATGGCTTTGGGTGGCACTGTTTTTAAAAGATTAATCATATTGTTTTCCTAATGTGGAACCATTCCTATTTCCCTAGTAAAAGTCCAACTTGGGGGCAGCTAGGTGGTGCAGTGGATAGAGCACTGGCCCTGGATTCAGGAGGACCTGAGTTCAAATCCGGCCTCAGACACATAACATGTACTAGCTGTGTGACCCTGGGCAAGTCACTTAACCCCACTGCCTAGCTAAAAAAAAAAAAGTCCAACTTGGTAATACTGAGTAATTCTTGCATATATTGATTTTTGCTAGTATTATATTTAAAATTTTGGCATAAATAAAATTCATTAGGAGGATATCAGAGATTTCCTCTTCCCCCACTGTCATTTGACATAGTTCCAGAAATAGGAACAACATCATTGAGACCAGGAAAAGAAATTAAAAGGCGTAAACATGAGCAAAGAAGAGACAAACACATACCTATTTACTGACAATAAGACTTACTTTTAAAAAACTCAGAGAATCAGCAAAGAAACTAATTCAGACAATTAATAACTTTACTAAAGTAGTAACTACAAATGAAACTCATAAAACCAACAGCATTTCTATGTAGCAACAGGAAAATTCAGGGGAAAACAATTGAAAGGGAAGTGCCAAACAAAAGAAATTTAAAAGACTGAGTCAATTTATTAAGGCACACTCAAGACTTAAATAAATGCAGTTACCAAACATTAACAAAATAAAGAATGACATTCCTTATAACAAAGCAACATCTCAAATGATTCGACCAATGTTAACTGTTTAGGTTTGGGCTAAGCCAACATAATAAAAATGACTAAACTATGTAAATCACTTTACAGATTTAATGCCATACCAATAAAACTACCAAGGGTATTTTTTTTATTGAGCTAGCTCAGAAGTGGGGAGCCTGTGGCCTGAAGGCCACACGTGGCCCTCCCGGTCCTCTGGTGCAGCCCTTTGACTAAATCCAGACTTCACAGTTTGCTGCCCCTGAGCTAGATAAAATAATGACCAAATTCATTTGAAGGAATAAAAGTTGACCATTTCAAGAGAAACAATGAAAAAAAAACACATGCGGGATTTTGCTTTCTGCCTTTCACCTCCTTGGGATACATGTCTAGTAGTGGCATTTCTGGTTTAAAGGGCAGGGACATTTTAGTCATGTTCTTGGTTACTAATGACAAAACAGACATACATTGTTGGTGGAGCTGTGAAACAGTCTGACCGTCCTGGACAACTATTTGGAATTATTCCCCCAAGGTGGCTAAAATGCCTATACCCTTTGACCCATACTGTTATACATATACCCCAAGGAGATTAAAGAAAGAAGGAAAGGCGCAAACACCAAAATACTGATATCAGCATTTTCTATACTAGAAAAAAACTGGAAACAAAGAAGACGTCCATTAATTGGAGAACAGCTAACAAATCAATAGTATCTGAATCTAATCAACTATTGTTGCATCATAAGATAGGATGCGCATGATAAAGTTGGAGAAGTATGGAAAGACTTTTTTGCAGAAGTGGAAGGCGCATGTCAAACATTACTCGTACTTGTAGACTTGCTTAAAGGATTGGTTAGTTTTTTTGGAAAGGATTTTTTAAAAAATTCTTTGTTACAAGGCAGCAGGGTAGGGGAAGGAGAAGGGGAAGGGATATATGTGAAAATGAAGGTGACAACAATTTTAAAAATTAGTTTTAAAAAAGATATCAATTTTTTTGAACAAAAAGGAATACAAATGATCAAAAGCCACAAGAAAAACTATTCAAACTCTCTAATAAATGTAAAAATTCAAAAGAAAACATCTCTAAGAGCCAAAATTTAAAAAATGAGTTATAAAGTTCTATACTAGTAGACCTCTTGATAAGAAGGCATGAGATTGCACAACTACCAGAGCTAGGAAATGGGGCAATCTTTTGGAAAAGCAAGCGCCATTCTGTGCTGCGGCCTGTTCACACCTGGAGTCTAGGAGCGCCATCGCAAAGGTGCTGCAACGACCAGGGCGAGGCCACTTCCAATGACCCCCACTGGCTCTATTCTCTGTCCTCACCTGGACAGGAGTCGCTGGGGACTCTTCCCATGGGCCTTGACAGTGCTCCTCCTCTCTCCAACAGGAAGATCAAGTCCAGTTTGGAAATGGGAACACTTAAACCTACAGAGAGAAAGGACAAAGTGGTAGGGACAGAAAGCGAGGCAAGAATTCAGTTTTATTTGTGGAAAACCAGGCAGCTAAGGAAGCAGAGAGAGCCGTACAAAGGATCTCCGAATCCTCCTCCAGGATTCCAAGGCATCATGGGTCATGACTCTGGGCCCAACCTGTTGTCCATCAATGCTGCCCATCCCAGATCTGCATGGGGTAAGCAGATAGTGTGTCCATCTAAAAGCATGTCATCACCTGAAGGCCAGGGTCACAGGGTCACCGGAAAGTGAGGAAGGAGCCATGTTATGGAGGGCTTTACACAGAGGAGGCCGCCTTTGCTCCTGGAGGCCATAGGAAGCCACTTAAGCTTCCTGACCCTAGACCCGCACTTGAGGAAGATCCCTTTGATGGCCCAGAGGAGGATGGACTAAACTGGGGGGAAGATGAGTCAGGAAACCAACCAGAAAGCTACTGTGATAAATGACCCAACAAAGGGGCGGGTTCAGAAGAATCCTGGGCGACTTATGTGAACTGATACAGAAGCAAGTGAGCAGAACCGGCAGAATGCTTCAGTCTACAATAACAGAACACTGGGAAAGACTGAAGAACCGTGTCTGACGCCATGACCACCAATGATTCTGTAAGACCAGTGATGAAACACGGTGACCACCTCTGGACTCAGGATGACAGGGGATTTTTGGACATGGGCAACGTGGGACATTGTTTTACCTGTCTGTTGCAAGGCAAAAAAAAAAAATGGGGTGAGAAGGTGAGAGTAAGGGTTGCGAGAGATAGGGCTGCCAATAGAAGAAGAAAAAAAAGTAGGAGCAAAAGAAGGCCATGGGGGGATGGGAAGGACAAACACCCAGAAGGGAACAGAGGGAGACGGCAGGCGGGACAGCTTGGGGGGTTACGTGCTGGAATGATTCTCTATGGAAAGGAAAGGCAGGCTGGACAGAACGGACAGCTGGGGTGTCACATCCATCATCTTTTCTGGTTCTTTGTATGTGGCGATGCGCATTCGAGCTGGGGTTTGTTACAGGCCATCAGCAGCTGTGGGAATCAGCAAAGGCTCCATGTGTGAGGAAGGGGGGATCGTGCATGAGGGAGCCCACCGAGACTCCCCAGGGACAGATGCGCTTACCCAGGAAGACCAGGTTCTCGTATGTCTCCAACATCACGTCCCTGTACAGGGCCCTCTGGGCAGGCTCCAGGCATCTCCACTCCTCCCCGGTGAAGTCCACGGCCACATCCCTGAAGGTCACGGATGCCTGCATCCAACACAAGCAGACACACTCCTGCTGAGCCGGGGACCGCTTCGCTATGGGGGCCTGACCTAGTGCCAGACTCGGCAGCGTGTGGACAGTGTCCTCAGTGGCACAAGCCCAGCCTCCAACTCTCCAAGTGTGGGGTTCTGGGAAGTCCACACCAACAAATTCCTTCCACCATGAACCCCGACAAAGTTGTCCCTTCGCTCCTTGTGCTCCGAGCCACCCTGGGGAGTCAGCCTCCACACAGCTCATGTTAGTGATCAAACCCCAAATATTCCTTTTTAATTTGCTAGCATCGCTTGGCATGACTGATCTCTTGACTCGGGGGGCAGTACCCCACAAAGGGCCCATCACACTGGGCATTCTCCCCATTCTGTACTGTTTAACGGCCCCTGCCTTCTCTCGTTGGACCCCGCGACCTGGAGTGCATTCTGCCCCCTGTTGTTACTATGGCATCGACGGACCCCCTACAACGTGCTGAATCCCAAAGCCTCGGTGCCCTCTGAGAGGAGGCGCTATGCTATGGTGGGAACTCACCTGAAACCGGGCTTGGAGGGGCCCAGGAGTCAGGCCTTCCTCATCCTTCATCCTCACGGAGTCTGGAGGCTGAGCTGGAGGAGGAGAAGGGTGTCGTGGGGTAACAAGGCCAGCCCTGCCTCCCCCTACCCAGGCCAACCCTCAAGATCACCCTCCCCTTGGCCTCCCTCCTCTTCTGGAGCTCCTGACCCCTGCTAGAGGAGGGCAGAAAGCTGTGTCTCAGGATGTGCCTTCTTCATTTAACCCTTTCACTGGAGGGCTTGGCACACAGGGGGCACTTAACAGAGCCTGCTGACTGGGTGAAGCGTGGTTTTCCTGGGCACCCTCCACCCCCAGTCCCCATACTTCTGTGAGGCTCACCTCTCTGCCCAAGCCTTTGGGCCTCGGTGCCAGGGGCCGCCCCCAGGCTCTGGGGAGAGGGCTCAGGCAGTAGGCTGCTCCTCAGGGGGGGCTGGGGAGGCATCCTTCATGGTCTCTTTCCAATAAAGTCAGAGACCGGGCAGTCAAAAGCAAGATCACTTAACTTCATTCTGGGCCTCAGAACCCTGTCCCCACCTGGGGGCTGTAACAACAAAAAGAAATGTTTACTACACCCCCACTATGTGCCAGGCACTGGGCTAAGTGATTTACCAACATCACCTCCTTCTATCCTCACAACCAACCTAGGAGACAGGGGTGTTATTACTATCCCCATTTTACAGATGAGGAAACTGAGGCAAGCAGAAGTAAAGATACCTGCTCAGGGTCACACAGCTAATAAGTTTGAGGTTGGATTTGAACTTAGGTCCCAGCACTCAGTCCGCTGCACCACCAGCTGGGTCCCTGGACACTCTTATCCAGAGCAAGGATGGAGGCACACACTGTAATCCAGACCCTCCAGCCCCAGGATATGGATGGAGTGAAGTCGGTAGTGTCTTTCATTCAAGAAACATCTAAGGAAAAGACAGAACTTGGGGAAACTGACAGAAGGCAGGGGTCGGCCTCCCGCAGAACTCTGGTCATTTGGCCACAAGAATGAAGAGGGGACGTTGTGGAGATCAGCCTTCCCCCAGTGTTTTGCAAGGTGGAGTTTACCCCTGGCCTACCCCAGGTATTCAGTAATCAAGGACATTATTTTTCTCATGACACTAAAGAAACAAACTCAACCAACGTTAATTTCTTTTAAAATGAACAGCTAAACTTTGCTTTAAAAACATCAACTTTGCAAAGAGCTCCCCCTTGTACCCAAACAGAAGGGGGGACCTCGAGGCCTGACCCTCTGACCTGGCCCGGGGACCCAAGGCACCTCCTGCTAAGTCCTTCAGGTCTGCCTGCCCCAGGGGCCCCACAAGGGACACCCCAGCAGCCACCCTCTGCAGGCACCTACTATGTGCCATGTCCTAGGTTAGGAGCAGGAGGAGACAGCCTCACCGTGGTGACAGACACAATCCAAACTGACACAAGGTGATGGCGGGGGAGGGGGGCGGTGCCAGGGTCCGTCTGACGGGGTGATGGGACCTGGACCCTGAATTTTCCCATATGTTTTCAGCTGCCCAGATCACTGGCGCCTCTGCCTAAGGCCTCTGGCCCATCCCGGCCCAGGACATACTCAACAATCCTTTTAACTGCCCCTTCACTGTGGCTCTCCGACCACTGAACTCCCTGCATCGCTGCACCCGGCCCACCCCAGGCTACCCGCCACTCCTTAATCCCCCCCCAGATCTCCTCACTGCCTTTTCTTGTACCTGAGAATCTTAACCCCGTTAAACTGCACAGATTCTTAGACTCTCGCTGCTCCTGCTGGGGATACAGTAAACTGTACTTTGACTGAAAGGCTTGAGTGGTCGAATTCTTTCGAGGCAGACCCCCGGTACCCTTGCATTTTGGGGTTCCCAGCACCCCAAATCATAACACATCCCCCCCACCCACCTGGCTAGGTTTGGGATTTCATGCATTTACAAAGGTCATTCTGGGCAGGGTCCTGGCTGCTGGAGGCGGGGTGTTGGCCCAAGGCAGTCTCAAGCAAGGGGGAGACCCCCTTCCCATACAGAAGATGAAGCAGGGCAGACCCGGGGGCAACAGGGAAGGGGCATCCTTTGGATGGACTTTGCCGTGTCTGGAGAGAAGGGGGGGAGGAAAAGTGGTAATAGTAATCATGATAATAATAATAATTATTATAGTTACCATTTATTAAGTGCCTAATATATACACTAAAATATAAACGGTACTTCATTCAGTCCCCACAACAGCCCTGAGAGGCAGGTGCTATTATTATCCCCATTTTACAGATGAGGAAACCAAGGTAGACCATAGTGACGTGAGTTGCCCAGGGTCTCACAGTTAGTAAGTGATTGTGGCTGGATTTGAATCCAGAGCCTGGTGCTATGTTCACTATGGTGGTGCCCCCTGTTTGCTTAAGCTAAGTTGGGTCAGGGAGGTGCAGAACTTTAAATGCCCCAAACAGACACTTATAGTTGATCCCTGGAGTACTAGGGAGCCATTACAGTTTCTAGAGTAAAGGCATGACCACACTACTTAATCAAATGGGGGGGAGGGGGAGGAGAAAAAAAAAAATCAGTTCCGCGCATGCGCATTCTATCTCCCCCGCTCTGCCCGCTCATGGGGGGGGAACGCGTGCGCATTCCTTCCCTCTCCCGCCAGCTCACCAGTCCCCCCACTCACCAGTCTGCCAGCTGGGCTGCCGGCCTGGAGGGAGGGAGGAAGGGGCTGGCGGGAGGAGGCGCGTGCGCACTCTTTCTCCCTCCCTCCACTCACCCGGGGCTCCGCCACACCTGGGCCCGAGACTGTTAAGTCGGAGCCTCGCGGGACTCCGAGCCACTGAATGACGAGTCCTCTCCTCATATCCGCACGAGACCGGTTGGGAGAACGAAGGCCTCCGAAGGCATTCTGGGAAATGGAGTCCAGAGGCCGGAAGGCTCGCAGCCGGCTCGCACTGCGCACACGCGCTTCCGAAGGGACTCCATCTCCCAGGGGGCTCCGAGGCCTTCCTTTCAAAAGAGATTTGCGTCTGCGCACTGTGAGGAGGCGGAGTTTTTCCTCGTTTTGCCGCTAGATGGCGCAGTAGAGAGAGCACCAGACCTGGAAGTCAGGAGGCCAGAAGTTCAAATCCAACCTCAGACACTTACAAACTGACCTTGAGCGAGTCACTCTACCTTTGCCTCTCTCTGTTTACTCCTCGGCAAAATGAGGAAAACAATCACACCTCCGACCCAGGATCGATATGAAGCTCAAATGAGATTAATATTTGTGAAGTGCTTTGCAAACCTTAAAGCTACTTAAATGCCAGCTATTGTCTGTTGTTATTATACATACTTTGGGGACTCCCTGGAGGTCACCTGGGAGGACTCCCTCCTCTGGAGCAGAGGGTAGCCCATCTGCATGTTCTCACTGTGGGTGACTCCTGTCCACAACTCCTGCTAGCCAGCTCTGGGCACCTTAGGTCCCCAAATCCCCTTCTTCCCTCCTGCCTCAGTTTCCCCTCATGTCAAGGCTCTTTCTCCTGCCTTTGCATGCCCAGCACCAGCACTGGGCATGGCACACATACAGAAGGAGGCTTCTGAATTCCTGCAATCTGACACGCTTTTTATCATTGCTCCTCCACCTTCCAAGGGCCCTCTTCCCAATGGCGCATGCCCTCCATCCGGTGTCCTCAGGGTCAG